GGCGCAGTAGGCAGCGCGTCAGTCTCATAATCTGAAGGCTGTGAGTTCAACCCTCACACGGGGCATTTGCTTTAGCTTTTTCACTCCCAGTATTTAACCACATTTTCACCTTAACTTCTATGATGCGACTTTATTCGGGCTTTCGAACAATGATGGTTACATTTTCCCATAGGTAGGGCTAGGGGCGCAATGGATAACGCATCTGACTACGGATCAGAAGACTCTAGGTTCGACTCCTGGCTAGCTCGTCTTCTTATTGTCATTGTCTTACATTTCTGCGTGCTTATTCCGACTCAGCTGGTCAATCACTCGCAAGCTCGTAAAGCAGAGGCAGCTTGAAATCCAACCCCCATCACTGCATGAAAAGTGAGATTTTCGTCCCCGTAAGCTCCCGCAGATCTGCCTGATTTTCGTCAGTTTCCGACAATTTGCAACCCGTGCTTGTCCGCGTTTGTCGTGCCACAATTTGTCGGAAACGTACCATGACGTATGTGGAGAGCGATCAGCTGTACTAATGGCCCTAATTAGCATATAAATGCAGCAAATCCGCGCGGCTGGCCAGGTCTGGCTTGAATAACCTTCTCAGTATTGGCTGAAACCACTATTCTCAAACAAATGAAATTGGCAGCAAAACCACACGTGGCCACGCCAGGCTTTAATTTTCTTACTGAGTATTGGACGGAACCACTTCTTTTTAAACAAGTAAAGTCGCTCGTGATTCGTTGGCATATATATATATTTACATATATATATTTATTCATATATATATATATTTATTCATTCATATATATATATATATATTTATTCATTCATATATATATTCATATATTTATTCATTCATATATTTATTCATTCATATGCTGTGTATTTATGTTATCCTACACTACTACACAATTATTATGCTACCATCAAGGACATGAATGAATTTATACAGGAAATGAAGATTTGCCAGGAAGCTGTTTATGGATAGAAAGAGCTTTATTAAAACACACACACAACTATATGCAACGCGTATCCAAACACATGCGTATCTAAAAATTACAACTCCGTGAACGGTCCGTTTGCTTCCTCGGGGTTGGAGGTAACAGGCAGCATTCCCTCCGAGGCAGGTCCGATGTGCAGACGCCTACTGTGCGTGGCCCTGTACTTCGGCATCGCTTCTAACTGGGACTGCAGCTTAACACAGAATTCAGTGAGATCCGGCCTACGAAATGGCGGCGACCGTACAATCCATCCAGAGACACGGCCGACGACGCCATCTTCTTCATCGGACATGAGGTCGACGGTGGCGGACTTACAGAGTTCCACTTCCTCATCTGCTAGCACACTCTGCCTCACCTTCAGCAGCTGAAAAAAAAACAATGAATCAGCGCACTGCATATGGACACAACACATCTATCAATGCACCTGAAAAATAGTCACCAAATAAAGTCTTACCCTCTTTCTTCTGGCCCGACTCCGAGCAGATAGCCTGGCAGCCTCCGCACGCAGCGTGTTGGCTAGCAGCGTGTATCTGAAGCTCCTGCGTACCGTCTCATAATACGTCTTACAGGCAGCTGGAAAACAATTAAATGAGAGTGGTATGAATTAAAAAAAAAATCAACCGCAAGTCACAGTAACAAGGAAGGAGAAAACATTAAAACTAGTCACTTACACACAATGTCGTCTTTATCAACATCGTGCAAATCTGGACTTGCCGAGATGGCAAATAGGAGGTCACCGCCTCATTGTGAGGCGACTGTAGTCTGTGAAAAAAAAAAAGTACAGCTATGGTCGGTATTTATCCGTATCCATGTCCTTTTACCGCAGAATGAAAGCATATTCTTTAAACCTTACCCCTGCTCCGGTTCATAGCGCCTGCAATTAGTCTCCGAGTTGTTAAGACGGCATACTGCTTCCTGTGAATCACAAAAAATACACTTTAATAAAGCTTTAGGCTAGGCTGCTTTTAGCTTGCCTAGCTAAGCTAGGCTGCTTTTAGCATAGCTACCAGTAATCGAACATATATTTACCGCTAGCGTGGCGTTGTGCACCCGTCTTCTCTTCCTCGAGTTTGTATATCCCGCAAAGTTGCTCGACTGCAGAGCCGCCATCTTGTCCTCTATGGACGGCAACCTGGAGTGCATCGAATTCTCCAGCTGAGTGAGGCGCTCATTCATGTCGGCAGTATGTTGGGCAAGCTGACGAGACATTCCGCTGATCGGTCTCCGTCAGTCACGTGACATTTGTTGCTAAGACGCCATTTTGAGTGGAGAAGGCGTAGTGTAAACAGCCGCAGCACAGCCAAACAAAAGGACTAAAGGATTGAGTTTTTTTCGCCGACTACATGGAAAAAAGTAAGCAGAATGCGAAACTACTGTACCGGGAAAAACTTAACAACGAGGCCAGGGACCGTTACTTGGCCAAACTGTCGGATATTAACGGCATAGATCCGTATGATCTCCGGAGCAAAGACTGGAGCTCCGACGTCTCTTCACTGCCTCTGACCTCATCAGTGGACATAACCAATTACCTAGTGTTTGGCGTCAGTGCCTACACGTGCGAGGAATTCAAGGCATATAAATCACTGGAAGCACACGGACAGTTCACAAATGGCTGGGTTCAGGATCTGTTTTCCTACCGACCACAGATGTGCAACAACACAGTTGTTACTGCAAAGGTAAGCTCCCTCAGCGCTTCTCAAGCAAGCTCCTAAATGATGTTCAGTAATCAAAATAAATTTTTTTTTTATGCCCACGTTTACATAGCAGCCTGTCCAAGATAAGTCTGTACAGTTAACATAAGCCTGAAAACAGGGGCGGATTTAGAAAAATTGGGGCCCTAGGCAAAGACAGGCAGGGGGCCCTATGAATGTGGTCGCCAAAGTCTCCAGTAGCAGAAAAATTTTGCAAGATTTGGCGCTAGGCCCTTTTTTGATATTAAAGTGCTAGAAGAGCCTGTAAAGTCGCTCAAGTACAAAACCGCTCATTGTATCATTTTTTTTTCAAATGGTTTGCTGCTGTCCTTTTAGCGAAAGTATTTATATCAAAAACATAATTAAAGTGCACAAGTCAGGAATAGCTGTATTAAACATACATGTTATGGGGCCCCCAGGAACTTGGGGCCCTGGGCACCTGCCTAGTATTGCCTAATGCTAAATCCCCCCCTGCCTGAAAATATGTAAGACTCCCATCCCACTAAAACGTTTGTATCTGTGTTATGTGCCTTGTAGGTCGTGCACTCCCAAAGACTAAACGACACACCACTGAAACCCTGGGCCATCATTGACCGATCAGGAGCCATATCATCTGCTCACTGTACATGTATGGCTGGGATAGCAGAGACCTGTACGCATGTAGCTGCCATGCTGTTCAAGTTGGAGGCCACTATCAGATGCAGGGAGAAAACAACTGTTACAGGAGAGCCTGCATACTGGATGATACCGAACAACATAAACAAAGTGGGAGCAGAGGTGGGACACAAGATCGATTTTACATCATCAAAAGCTAAACGGAAAAGCCTAGACCAACTCTTGGATGGTCAGGCCGAACACATGCCAGCGCTCAGAACTGTCACAAGCACCTGCACAGGCAACACCAGCACAGAGGACCAGTGGAGCGCATATCTTCGTGAACTGCAGAAAGCCTCATCTAAAGCTGCTGTTTTGTCTTGTGTACCAGGATTTTGTGATTCATTTGCAGACACATTACAGCCATGTCCTGCACCAGATTCATTGTCCCGACTGCGTGATAAAAAAATGGATTGCAGTGATTTGTCTGCGTTACGGTTGCACTGCAAAACTTTGTTAAAAAAGGCAGACATTTCACAGGACCAGGCCCACTACATAGAATTGCATAGTAGATCACAGCACAGATCCTCAACATGGTATCGGTTTCGCACAGGAAGGGTAACAGCATCAACCATGCACGCAGTCTTTCGGTCAGATTTGGACAACCCTGCAGTTTCAACCGTCAAAGCAGTATGTGGCACAAACAGCGGTGCAACCAATCATTGTGCTGCCACTGTATGGGGGAGACAAAATGAACAGAGAGGGCAAACACAGTACAAACAGAAAATGGAAAACACTAGCTACGTTTACATGCGCAAAATTTCCCCGATCCGATCCAAACCTTGGTTGATCGGAAATTCAAAATCTCCGTTTACATGGACACTAAATGAAATGATCCGATCATGACGTGTGTATACATGTATCAAGCGTTGGATCAGATTAAATCTTTTAAGCATGCGCAGAACTTCCTGCCAAACTTGGCAGTTCTGTCTGCGTCTGGTTTTTGGGAGGCCTGACAAACGATGCGCTCGGAGCAAGCGGAAAGAAAAAAGGAGAGAGAAGGAAAAAAGCGCTTGGCAGCGAAATGTCCGAGAGAAAATGTAGAGAATGAGCGATTGAACCGGCGTGGGAGAGCGAGTGGGCTGTGGAGAGAAGCGAAAAGAGAGAAAAGAGGAAGAGGAGGAGGATAAATTCCTGCTTCCGGCAGCTTCAAATGAACTTGAGTGTATAAGTCGGCGTTCCTAGACTCCCCCCGCCATGTTGTTCACAGCGAGAGTGAGAGCGACCGGTGGTTTCCTGTTGTTGACAAGGCGGAAAACGTCACGCTGACGTCGCACACATGCGCAGTGAAGATTATTTTACTCTTCAGATCCGAATGGGTGTTTACATGGACGCCAATCGGAATGGCGATCGGCAAAAACCACCTCTCTCATTCGGAATTAAATTTAGATCCGATCGGACCGAATCGGATTAGAATCTTCAGTCTGACATGTTTACATGAAACATTTTTGATCTGATCAGACCTTCAATCCGATTAGTTGTGTCCATGTAAACGTAGCTACTGTGACATTGAGCTAAGCCAGTCTGGGTTCATTATCAACCCCAAGTTTCCCCAGGTTGGAGCATCACCTGATGCAATTGTACTGTGCACCTGCTGCGGAAAAGGCTGTGTCGAGATAAAGTGCCCATTCAAGTACCGAGACAATACCATTCTGGAGGCATGCAGGAGTGGTGATAAAAATTTCTGTTTGGAAATGGTGGGTGGAAAGCTGCAGCTTAAGAAGGAGCATCCATACTACAAACAAGTGCAGACCCAAATTTTTGTTGCTAATGCAGCATATTGTGACTTTGTAGTGTGGACCCTGAAAGACATTGTCGTGTTACGTGTGGCACCTGACCCCAAGCTGTGGAATGCACTCCTTGAAAAGGCACAGCAGTTCTTTGAGCGTGTGTGTCTCCCTGAACTGGTCAGCCACTTCTTCACATGTGATGCACAACGAGCACCGCTGACAGACAGCTCTGATCCTGTAAGGAAAAGACCTTGCAAGGCTGCAAAACCTCTGGCTGAAAAAGCAAACAACATTGTAGCAGCTGACAAGCTATGGTGTTTGTGCCATGGACCGGAGGCCAAAGATGACATGGTGGCCTGTGACAATGAAAACTGCCCCATCGTTTGGTTTCATTTGAGTTGTGTTGGCCTACACCTCAAAGATGCTCAGTCTGATTTTTGGCTTTGCCCTCAGTGCATCAAATTCAAAAACTTAAACTGTCTTTGTTAATTTAAATGTGTTTTGCAGTGATGTTTGTGTGTTTACATATGTTACCAGTATGTTAAGCTATTGCTTGTGTTTACCTTTTGCACTGATCACTTGACACTGGAAGTGCTCAAATTTAAAAACTTAAAGGTGGGGTATATGATCCTGGATAAACGGTTCCTGCCAGCTACATTTTTGAAAATACACACCTTCAGCCCACCCCACGAAACCACGCCTCCAAATTACATGAACGCGCCTGCTGTCAGTCGAGAATGTTCGGATGTTCCCGAGAACGAAACAGGCCGAGACCTCGCGAGTGCACGTGACTCGGGATGAGGCGAGAAGCTCATGTCTATTACTAGCTAACCACAACATAACAGGCTAACTTCCATGATGGCGTCGTCTTCTCCTAGTACGGTAAGAGTGTTGAACAATTCAATATGGTCGTAAACAAGTCTTCACGGTTGTCATTTCAAGAAGTATTGATTAGGGTGACCAAACGTCCGTATTTCCCGGGACATATCCGTATTTCACGTCCTGTCCCGGGCGTCCCGGGTTTTTTTTAGAAAGTGAGGAAATGTCCTGATTTCACTGCGCACGACGCTCCGTGTGACGTAATCCCTGAGCCGCGTCAGTGCAGGCAGCCCTGTTCTTAATCAGAGGCTCTGTTCAAAAACCTGGGCTGCATCCTCCAAGGACGCGGTCTACCTAGACTGGACCCTTCGAAGTCCTTGAAAATAAGGAGACCACAAGAGTTCTGTCTGTAAATTCGAACAGGTCCTCCCTTCAGCGGGTTTTACCGGCGTATGCTCTGTTGCTTAGCAACCGTGTAAGTTGACACACAAAGCAGGAAAAGAATGAATACCAAGGTTTTCAAAACTGTTTGTTTATTTATTTATTTTTTTAAAAGTTAAAGTGAACAAAGACTACACTCACAAGAATCCAGAGTGGAAGGTTTCCAACCATTGGGAGCAGGAACCAATCAAATCAAATGTAATGATAGAAACCTTAGTCAGTTAAATAACCTGCTGCTGTCATTTTGCACATCTCTGATGTTGCTGCTATTTTCAAATATCCATTACTGTAAAAATGTCCATAGCTGCATATTGGTTATTTATTCCCCAGTTTTATATTGTTAAAACACTTTACAGTATTTTATTGTTTATATTTTAACTCTTCCCTATTATGTTATTCTTATACATTTTTCTAAGGTCCTCATTTGTGTGACTATTTTCAATAATCTTTCTGCTGCTGTAAATTTGCCCATTGTGGGACAATAAAGGGATTTTCTATACTATAAAAGGGTTAGAAATACATAAGTAAATCTAAACAATGTATGTATAAAAATATATCTGCAAAATCTCTAATATTCAACAACAAAAAATACTTAGTTAAGCATATTGTGCAAAACAACAATAAAAAAATTAAACTCCTATCAGATTTATAGTTCCCACTCTGCAGATCTATTAGAATCTGTCCTTAAATTACAGCCAAACCCATTTACACAATAACAGATAAAAACCTTCAGATAAACCAAACATTACCGCCACATATCTGACTCAATAACCATTAAAACAACTATTTTCATTCATTTCAGACGGAACTATTCACAGAGTTGTATTATATTAAACTGAACTTCCAATTTCCCGATGATGAGACATTTGTTCTTTCAATCAACCCCAACCCCCCCCCCACCCCCCCCCCCCCCCCCCCCGCTCCAAGGTGTCCTGGTTTTCCCAAATGAAAATATGGTCACCCTAGTATTGATAGTAGATGTATACTAGACAAGTCGTTGTTTTTTTACTTGTTGTTTTGATACGTGTTACTCACACAATCTCACTGTAGTAATAACAGTGGTGATCAGAGACCTACTGTTGTCATCCTAGCAAAAAAAAAAAAAAAGGACGGACATTGACATATTTCTATAGGTGTAATATGTATGTTACTATTGTGTGCATGCATACCTGACAGTGTAATCCGTTGTCTTTTTGTTACGGACGAATCTTACGGGGAAATTCCACAGCCTAACTTACGCTAAACCTGACTATTCTTTTCATTTGTAAAATGGGGATGTCGCCCGTAGCTTAGGCTATAGTGTACTTGTGCGAGCAAAGAAAACAACAGAACAGATCAACGCTAATGAAGTTGAGGTGATTGTGACGGTGTTGTCCACGCTTTATTTATTTTAGAGCTTCCACGGCGACAGCTCCTCTAGCTCCCCTGAGCCGACGTCCAAACGCCCGAAACGCCAGACCAGTACAAGAGGTGGACCGAGGGGCAGCGATCGTGGGGGCAGAGGCAGAGGCAGAGCTGGGACAGCAGGTGGAAGACCCAGGGGAAGGAGACCTCAGCCGTGGGGTCTTGAACTTACGCAGGAGGACTTTGAGAGAATTCGAGACATGCGAGCGGACAGGATTGCAAATGAGGATGTAGGTTGATCACATACTAGGTTTTAATGCCATAAACTGTTTAGCTCCAAAGATGTATGAAGAAGTGTTGTAAGTGAAGTGTTAGTACAATACTTGTGCAACGTCAGATGGTTGTAGCTACATAACATCAGTTGTCTTGTAATTAGATCCATAAGACACATTGTACTTCATATTTGTTTGAATCTGACACAATACTTTTTTTTATTCAAATGGAAGTCTCAACAACATGGTATTATAGGAACATAAATGCAATTACTGAATTGGTAATGTCCACACCGGGCTCATGGTCAATGGCAATACTTAGTCATCATCTACTGGCAGAGGTGTCAAAAGTAAAAATGAAAGTACATTTGTGGTGTAATTACAACACTAGCACATGACATCACATAGCTGTTACACCATGTACTCCATTGTACCATATGAAATAGATGGACTGTGTTGTTACTGAAAAACACTGAAAACCTATCAAGGACCCACCCACAAACTTGATCCAACCAGTGCAGAGTTAACTGATTGTAAGACACAGGTCTACTGGTTACTCAGATTTCAACTTGTGTTAGAATTTAAGTTTTTTTTTTTTTTTTTTTTTTTTTACTTGTGACACCTCTGTCTACTTCATATGACAAAGGAAAGGCACTAGATAAAACATTTATTTCTTTACAGGCCCGAATTCAATCCCTGGATTTACAACAAGCTCGAGAAATATTGCGAGGCGCCCTGACCCGTGACCCCAGCCTGATGTTCGACTTAGCACACCGGACATCTGGCCCTCCAGGTCCGCAGCCACAGCCCCCTGCAGCCCAACCTACCTGGTGCGTCTGCACCAATTGCAAGGAGATGCCAACCGACATTGAGAGAAAGTGTTGTGGAGAACCGGCCGACTCCTGCATCGCCATGATGCAACACATGGACGAGTTCATATTGTTAGAGGGGATTCTCTATTTTGCAGGGAGAATTTGGGCAGAAGTGCGGGCAGAGGCTGATGTTGTTGGACCTGGAGAAAGCAACAGAAGATTCAGGCATGCAGCCTACCGACAGTTTGTGGTGTGGCAGTATGGGGCACTGGGTCACGGCCGGCGTGTCGTTATACCCAGTTGCTGCGTATGGAGGATCCGTGACCGTTATCCTGATCCACTGGGCCAGTATAGAGGGTTTGTAGCAAGTAGGGTGTGAACACAAACTGGCGATGTACATAACTTTATAATTATTTTTATTCCTACTGTCTTTGTGTACATAGTTGTATTGTATAATTATTGTTATTTGTAGTTGTATACATCTGCATGGATACTGTTCTCTTGGTTTTGAACCATTCTACCTTTGACATTTGCGTGTGCATTTGAAAATAAAAGCATAATTTCAAAAATCCTTACTATTGTTGTCTTGTGGAATACAAATTGTCAATGTTATCAATTTTCTGACCACAGAATGGTTACAAAATACAGACATACACAGTAAAATAGTGTAAAAGAATATTTATTGGCATATTGTCATGTGTGGACAGTTGAAAAAAATGTTGGGCAAATTAAAATATATACAAATTTACAGTTATCACCACCATACAAAAAAGGAGAACAACAGCTGAAGAACTAGTCAGCAGGTGGAGGAGTCTGTGCTGTAAAGAGATAAAACAGAATCATATGTCACATGTCTGACAATAGTGAAACTTTCAAATGTGAGCAGCCACGAATTTTGAACAGTGAGTGTCAATGGTACTTACCAAGCCCTCTGCTGACTTGCTTCAGTAGCAGCTCTTGGGTTGTTGGGGCAGGTACACCAGAGAGAGGGCCAAGTCTTCTCGGGTCATCTGGTCTGGAGGGTCTCGGGTCAGCCATTCCTCTAGTGGCAGCCAGTCTACGACGCAGAATGGTTCTCTGTAGGTCATCGATGTAGCTGTAGTCCTTCTCAACCTTTTCCATATGCAGCCTCCAGCTCCTGGACCTCTTATTGTACAACTTCCCGTACCTGAAACATGAAATGTGACAGACTGTCTTAGAGCTAATTTACATTTCATTACACTCAGATAGTGCTTTTACAGGGTGTGTTAGTCAAGTGTGGAATTTTGTGCCTTGTTCAAGAGCACATCAGCCACGATTGGAGGTGTGAGGGAAAGGGTAAGGGGAGAGAGGGTAAGGGTGGTATTAGAACCTGCTACCCTCTGATGTTAGGACCCTCTCTCCAGCCAATTAGGCGATGGCTGCTGCAAATCTTCTTGGGTCCCCAGGTTGTGTTTCGTGATCAACAACATATTGCTAACATATTGTAAAACTGTTCAATGAAAATCCATTTGCCATCATCACTGTAAAGACATTTGAATACATTGACATAACTTGTATAGAAATGTTTATGATGATACATACTGAATTGTGCCATCCGCCTTTCTCTTGGCTGGTCTCTTCAGGTGATGGTTGTAGTCCAGGCCAGCCAACAAAGTACGCGCTTCATAGACAGGAGGGGAAAAGCTGTAGCGTTTGCTTTGCATACATAAGTATGTGGTTATGAAACGACTCCAAATCTGCCGTTGACCTGAGTGAAAAGCAGAAATTGTAAAGATCTTGTGGTGGATTTTAATTTTAGACAAAGTATAACAAAAATTGCACATCAGCCATACATCACATTTGTAATTTGTTCAGACAATAGGTAGAGAAGTCATCTGGAATCCTTCTGCATACAATCAATTTCACCTGGAAAGAAAGAGAGAATCAGCAATACAAACTAAGTGGACAAGTAAACCCAAAGGTGGAAAGTGTTGCTGATGTGTAGAGTTTGTCCATGGATTCCAGCAACCCTAAAGACTGAAGAGTGTTGCAGTGTTTCGCATAGAGAACTAGACAAACTAGACTACAGTCACACATGCGCGTACAGACACAAACAATGGGTGTGCCAGCTGGGCCAAGACACACGGCGGCTGGGCCCTCCAAAGTCTGCCTTGCAGCTAGCTAGAGGGGGTGGTGCTTCGTTGCCATTGGGTGGCAGAAGTACATTTCATTTTTTGGTACGTTGGCGGGCTTATGATGAGGTCAGGGGGACTTTGGACAACTTATTATGTCCAGAGGGTGTTTGTTCATAAAAAGTGCAGATACTCTGGTCTAAAGCAATTTGGGACACACACACACAAACACACACAGTTGATGGCCATGCCAGCCAGGCAAAGACACACCTCCACAGATGGACTGCTTCCTGATGCACCCGAAAGTCTGCCTGGTAACAAGCTGCATAGACAAATGAGTGGAAAAGCCAAAGTGTGCAAGGAGAGTCATACAACAGCAGGGGGTTGGGAGATAGGGGGATGGGGGTGGGGGATAGTAACGACTGGTAGTGGTCTCAGCAGAGAAGGCTTGGAATGTGGATTCAGGAGAGACAGTTGATGGCTCTGATGCCCTAGGTAAATTCAGAATTCACCCACACACACCTGTGATTAAAATATATCATGTGTAAGAGTGGGTTATCAATTAGCAGTTTTGTGTGGCACTGCACAGTTACATAGTCAAATTGTATAAACCAGACAAAGCAGTGAAGGACCAGGTGCCATAAACAAACAAAGAATCAATAACAACAAAGTATGTATCTCATAATTCAATGCAACCTGAAATGTTGAGGAGTTGAAATGTAGTGAGCAAAATGTAAATAATAATCCATACCCGGTGCCAAAAGGCCATTGCTCTGGGTAGAGGAAAGTCATGACCATTTGCAGGTTTACCTGAAGTGAAGGTATTTGTCAATGTTCTTCAGCCAGCGTGCGTCGAGAACAATGTCTCTCAGTCTTTGGTGTGCCAAACTGTCTGCCTCGATCCATTCCTTGTCTCTGCTGTCCTCCAGAGGGCCATGGTGACAGGAGTACAGGGACCACTCATGCTCTCCGGTGACATGGTGCAGCAGTCCCGACCACATGTCCTAAAAACAAGCAGTAAGGAGTTGTATTCTCAAATAAGGAGTCTCAGTGCGCGTAAGAAGGTTCCAATGTTGTTGGACAAATAACCCGTGGTAAGTATAAATTGACATGACGTTTCCTGCAAGATGGTGTTACCAGCAATACAATAGTTGCTGTTACACTGTACCATCCCAACATTTGGCTAAGTAAGAAAAATGTAAGGTTACTAAGTTACACAAAGTGTACATTAAACTGGATGACATCTACCACCAACATATTGAGGAGAAATGTGGCCAGACTATGCTTACATTGTCCAGTCAATGAGGACATCAATTAAAAATTTTAATATTTCTGTACTAGGCTACTTACCATAAACTGTCGATAGGAGTTTGAAGTCTTGCAGCAGTGCCAGAAATGGTTGCAAATATCCCTGCTCCATGCTAGTAAACCAGCGCATCCCTTTTGCTGTCCTGCCTGGACATTGAACAGGATATCAGAGCAGTAAACAATGTCAGAAATCTCGCAAAACACATATGAAGTTAGTGGATCAAAAGCATGCAATTGCAAATAAACATACCGCCACAAGCTTCTTATTGAGGTTCTTCGAGCCATGCCAGATGTCCCAAGAATGGTGTATGCCACTGTCATTGAACAGCCCTTTATCTGAATGGTGCAGAAAGATGATGAATACATCATCCAATAACAGCTGTATGGTGAAGCTGTACAGTAATATAGAAATTACTTACTAAAAAGTGCTGCTATTTGACTGTGTGCATCTGTGCAAACTTCGGTCACATTCAGCTCTTCACGAAGTGTCTCCAGGGTACGCACAAAGCCCTCCTTCTCCATAATGACAGAATTTCTGTTAGTCTCCCGTTTGTCAAGGTTTACCATGGAAATTATTTGCTTCGAATCATTATCCATGGCTGTGTATGTGCAGTATTGTGCACAGAACCCCGGACTGTCCATACGACCATCACCTTTGAATAAAAAATGAGAAATAATTAGAGTGTGTGTGTGTGTGTGTGTGTGTGTGTGTCTTCACAACTCACCAAGGACCACAACAGGCCCTCGTTGTTTTAGCTGAGCAATCACTTTGGCCCTCTTGTCATTCCAGAACTCTTTTACGCTCTCAACACAGAAGGAGTCCTGGATCTTGAAGAAGTTGGTCCTGTCAACCATCCCCATATTCATAAACTGGAAAAGCAGTGCAATTTTGGCATAGTTGTTGCCTGAGAGCAATATATTGGTGGCTAGCATGAAGTCCCCGGCCAACATTCCAAACTTGAACATGGACTGTGAACTCCATCGCCACACCAAATGACCCCGAGAGCACATCTGAAAACACAGTCAAAAACGGGGATGGGGGGGTTTGTTTAACAGAATACATAGAACAGCCACTTCACCATATGACTCATATGGAAATATATAATACATTTGTGACAACTCACCCATTCTACAACAGCTGCTATGCCCCGGGATTTTACCCGAATTTCAAAAGGCGCCTTTGCAGGGCACGGCTTGTTTGTCATCGGTTCTTTTTCTGTGCATTCGGCCATTGGCAAGGCAACGCACCCCGCAAGCTGCTTCAGACAATCGTGGTACACAATTGACGCAGGATGGCCAATCACATCATCTTCTACCTCAACTTTCATCGCCTCTGGCAACGGCGTGTCTGGCCTTGCCGGATCACGGTTGAAGTCCACATCAAGAACCGATTCTTCTAAGGTGACTGTTGGCAGTGTTTCCAAACGTAGGTTCGTCGTCAGAGCACCTCCTGTTCTGTAGAATAAACAAGATACAGAAAAATGATAACAGCAATAACAACATCACTCACAGATAGTAAGGTAAGGTAGTGGTACAGAATATAGCTTACCGCACACAAACACGAGGCACATAATCAGAATCACTCTCGTCACTGTATGTGTCAATTTCCTTGGTCACATCTTCCTCCAACGATGAGACAGAGTCTTCCTCCATGTCAGGGTCCCAGGTGTCATCATCACCCCAGTCAGGGTCCCAGGTGTCATCATCACCCCAGTCAATTCTAAGTAGTAATGCACATTATTTAAAAGAGGTCTCGTTTTTTTTCTTAGCTTTTATGTCCATACATTGTTTTGAGAACACCACTTACGTAGAATTTTGAATGTCATTGAACTGCTCCTCACTGACTTCAGCATATGCGAGCAATATAGCATAGAATCAGGCCAATACAATTCCCCTGACAATAAATCTCTTTTACAACTGTTTCTTCCTAGACACAAGGTGCGCAGTACATTTACAATGTGTTAATATGGGTTGTTGTCAAAAAAAGAAAGCAAGTCGTGGAAACTGTACAACAGGGACATTGCAGGAAGTGTACATACTGGTACAGCAAAAAGATAACAAGTACCATGTTATCATTTACTCTCAGAGAGACTTCATCTATATGTGGATCAATTCCGTATTTGGAGACTCTAATATCAGGTGGTACAGTACAACCACAGCTAATCGCAATAATTTTTGTTTTAAAAACTTGTGCATTAATCAGTATTTAAAGTACTGGAATTACTGATAAGCCTCCAACATCAAACTAATTAAATCCATAAAATAGTGGCATTAGCATCGATTGTTCCCCGACATCACATTACATTTACCCTGACCCGTGCAACCACAAAAACATCAGTGATGATCACATTACACAACAAAACGTAAAAAATAAAAGTTTCTCAAGGGAATAAATAATCGTTTTTCAAAATCTAAAGTAGTTTTACTTACTCGTCTGAGTGTACACGGGATTCGGGACCGATGTTCGACAGAGAAGGGGCAGGAGGGGGCTTCAAGACGCTGATCTTCATTGGAGTGGAACTGGTGTGTGCCATGGACGCATCATAGCTAACAAGAACAAAGAACACCAATTTGTACAACCTGAACGTCGGTGTTTGTACCACATAAAGCGTATCTTACAAAATGTTTACAAGCATGGATTGGACAGGAATGCAGCGTCAAGGAGGATAATACTTTGTAGTGCCATGATAGCAATCAATATTTCAGACGGAGCTAGTAAGCTAGAGAAACATGCTGGGACATTGCATGTAGTCGACATCTTTGACTTTCTCACTAATGTGGTAAATAAGAAGTAACCAAGTATTATCTCAACATATAAGAAAACATAACGTTGTCTTACCTATCGAGTAGAAACAAGGCCACCTTAGCATCCGTCTGTAGTCCCCTGTCTTCTTTCAGTTGACGCCAACGTTGGAAAGCTGTACCGATTACCACTCTCGTCCTGTTTCGTTCTTCTGTAGCTTTTATCCTAGCTGTTGCTTTTTCAAGCACAGTTTTGCCTTTTCTTTTCGAACCCGTTGTTGTCGTCTTTTCTGCCATAGTCAATATTCTCTCTGGCTGTGTGAGATAAATCTGTGGAGTTGGGCTTGATAGCTAGCTAGCTAGCTCTCTAGTAGCATTTGAAGTTCACGGTAGGGTGGAGTTACCTGAAATGACTCCTGCGCCGGCACTTGGGGGGGGGGGGGGGGGGGGTGTCACGAGTCTGTGAACGCGCAGGGGGGGAGGGGTGGGGAGAGCTCAGAGCTGACGGTTGATGGGCGTGCCAGAAACCAGTAGAAGTAGGGATGATAGTTACTTCTATTGGTTTGCGTTTTCCTCTGACTACGCCCTCTACACTGGACTAAAAGATTTCGTTTTTTTTCCAAACATTCTATCTCAGTTGGCGCAATGGGCTCGTGAGGAGGTTTTCAATCAGTATGGTAAAAACATGCTCCAGAAAACATCACATACCCCACCTTTAAACTGTTTTTTTTTTTTGCAGTGATGTTTGTGTTCACCAGACAAATGTAGCTGAGCACCTTATACTACTACCTCTTCACTTTACATATGTTACCAGTATGTTAAGCTATTCCTTGTGTTTACCTTTTGCACTGATCACTTGACAGTTAAATGCACACATAAAAACAGTTCAACTTCCTATTTTTCTCATTGACCAATGTTCTTTATGCTACCAACACTGCAAAAACAATCCAGAAATAAGTAAAAAATGGCTTAAATTAAGTATATTTAGCCTTAATTTGAGTAGATAAATAAGATGATTTGCCAATGGAATGAGTATTTTTACTCTTAAAATAAGATAGTTAGATAATATTTACTTGAAATAAGAGGATAAAATAGTTTTTTCTTATTTTAAAAGGAAATTGTCTTGTTCCATTGGCAAAGTGTCTTACTTACCTCCTCAAATCAAGGAAAAACACACTTATTTTAAGAAAAAATAACTTATTGAGATTTCTATTTTTTGCAGTGAAAAAAAAGGAATATTTACAGTTTTAGAATCTTTTAGAAGACTTTTATTATTCTAAAAAGAATGTTTACAAGTTTTCAGTGTTTGACAATTTTTTATGATGCTACAAAAGAATGTTTACAGGTTGATATTTGCAGGTTGTGGGGATATTTCTATTATGCTAATGTTTACAAGTTTTGTTGAAAAAAGTTTATTGTGCTAAAAAAGAATGTTTACAGTGTGTACAAGCCTTCCTTATGCACAAGTAAAAAAATCAAAATGCATTTACATCTTGGGTGATTTCTGTATCTACACCACAGTTGGACAATGATTTGTCAGGGCACAGCACACAGTGACGACCTTATCCAAGAATGTGACCTCTTCTCCAGCACAGGGTAAAACCATTGAAATAGGAATAGTTCCATTTAAGATTTTGTACTTTTGACATACATTTCCAATCACCCGTTCAACATGGATTCTCAAATGTGCTATTTTCCTAGTTTCCTCCACATCTCTAGCTGCTAACTGACAGTGGCCTTTGGTGAATGCTGGGAGTTTAACTTCAGCACACAGCATGCCCACACACTCCTGTATGTCAAAACCTCTGTCAGCCAAGACCAGGTCCCCAGGCAACAAATTGTCAAGGAAGCCACTGTTCAGCGTGATGTGTTTGTCGCTTGTACGACCTCCCCAGCCTTTGGACAAAAAACAAATGGCTCCTTTGGGTGTCACACCTATTAAATATTTCATGGTGTAATTGTGCTTGTAGCTGGAGAACATTTGGGCACGCGCTTTCAGGTGTGATGGTTTTTCTGTAAATATCTCAAAGCAGTCAATAATCACTGCTACTCTGTTTCCAAAGGCCTCCTTGAACTGATGTGGCATTACTTTGCGGAGAGTGTCTCTGTCTGGCCATATAATAGCACGCCTCAAATTTGCATAAAGACATGAAACCATATCATGAAATGTTCTTTGTGCAGTCCTAGGAGAAATATGAAACAGATAAGCAAGGTGCTGCAGAGGCAAATCCAATCTTAAGCGCATGAGTGTAAATAGGAGCATCTGAAAAGGAGTAAGACATTTCTTTTGATATGACATGAGTGGCAATAAAAAATTAAAGAGCGCCAGGAAGGTTGCAAGGTTTGGCAGACCAGTGTAATACTTTACTTTTTCATCATCAGCTCCAAAGAAACTATCGGATATCATGTTCTCATTAAGTTTGCGTCGCAGTTCTATATTCTCTTCTGTCAGGCGGTTGACCTCTGCACGCCTGAGCACACACAGGTCACATTCAGGCTGTGTCACAGTTTCAGTGGGGTTCTGCACCTCCTTGTTTGTGATCAGCTGAGGGTTTTCTTCTCCAATCTCCAGCTGAGGGTGTTCTTGGTTTTCTTCTCCATCCTTTCTGATCTCCTGCTGAGGGTTTTTTTCTCCATCCTTTCCAACCTCCAGCTGACCATTTCCTTCTTCAGCATCACATGTCTCCTCGGTCTGTAGCCCGTCAGTGTTTACATCCTGGTGTATGCCTGTCTCTGCTGACTGAAGGGTCTGTTTCCGTGTCTGCTCCCGTGCCCTTCGTCTGGCAGAGCGACCAGGGTCTGTTGGTTTGATAAACGTGTGTCCAAGATGTAAGGATGGGGCCCAGTCTGGGTCACTCTCCATCATCTCATAAGCTGGCTCACCTGAAACCACATGTTAGGTTTGATTTAGAAAGCAAGTTCATACTGGATAAGGCTATGTCTAATATCAAATTAATTAATTAATTTAATATGGGTGTTTAAATTTGTTTTTGAAATAATACAAAATAATAAGTTAGAATAATTGTGATTATGAATAATAATAAAACACAAATAATGCATTTTCTGACGTTTTTTAAGTAATATTAAAAGTTTATGTTACCTTTATGAAAATGCCGAGAACAAACACACATGTGGGGGAATGTTTTGTTGAAAATGAGATCCTTTCTCATCACTGCTGAAAGCCAGGCCATGCGACGTCTCTTTGTTATTTCCTCCAATTGAGGTCCGTGTGATCGTTTCCAGGTTGGAAAACGGAAAAAACGGATTCCTTCGTCCCCCGATCTGCCATGCTGGGACTGGCAGCCTCTCACACAACACGATCGGGTCATTTCAGGTTAATAATTGTGCCGAAAGAACAGCCGCGTGTGGGTTAACTCGACTTTCCACCTAATATGGTGGTTTTCCCACGATGCACCGCGCCCGAGGTAAACAATGACGTCACCTGGCGGAGACCGATAGCAATCAGCAGTTTCTTCTCGTCAGTCTGCGGGCTGGCCGAAAGTTGTGGACTAAGAGCAGTTGGAGGCGAGTTGAACGCGAGACGTCGTGCAGCCATTGTTCACGTAACAACAAAATACAAACACGGTAACTGGAGATGAAGTTCTTCTGAGTATAGTAACACAAACATGTCTGCTAATATGCTGGTCTCGCGAGTAGTCGAAGGCTCATCAGGCTCCTCCAATCACATACGACGTCATTGTTATACGGAAGGACTCGCGAGAAGAGCTTGCGTCGCTCCATTCTGGAAGGTGGCGGTAATGCACCTATAAATTGTTTGCAATTGCAATTGTTTGTCTCCATAAGATTGAATTCGAGCAGGTGGACATTAGCGATAATAAATGCAACAACAAGTTTTTGAATCAATATTCTATAAATAATATGTACCCAGGAAGAACAAAAAGCACAGCTCTCTTACAAAATGTTAAGAAATCTATGATAGTCAAAATTAGGACAAATTATTTGAAATTCCCAATTCCTCCTAAATATAAAGAATTACAATTTAAAATAATAAATAACATATATCCTTCAAATGAGTTTTTAAGAGAGAGATTTAAGTTTAATGTTGAGAATTGTGGCTTTTGTACAACTCAATTGGA